ACTTTGAACTTTTTTTAATTAGATTCGACCACTTACAATAGAATTGAATTTTCATCACCCAATAAGTACAATAAGCCAATGAAATGCAAACGCAGGTAGGTGGGATTAATTGTACCTTTTAGTCTATTTTACCATTGTTTGTCAATATAAAATCCACTCTTCGTCTCTCAGCCAATAAAATGCGTGCTTAATTTCATTGGTTCTTAATTAAAGACGAATCTCATCATGACAAACATGACACTCTAGCTAGAACAGGTAATGTAACCGTAAATTATGTGTGATTAAAATTTTACCGGAAATATCCAGAATTCAGCAGAGACTTTCAAAAATAAATACCAACTTAATAAATGTTATAAATTCAGAATATTTAAAGTTAGGGTCAACACCAACACAATATAGTAAACATTCAAAATTTTGAGAAAAATGATTTTGATTAAGAAAATTAAAATCCTGAGATCAGAGCCGTTTTGGCAAAAAATAAGAACCAAATAATAATTTTTTTATCGTTTTTGGAACAGTTTGAAAGAATCTCCGGGGTCCTTCTGTTTTAGCTTCTAGTGTAGTTTTTTCGAAATATGCTGTTTTGTATTTTTAAAAATTAAAAAAAAATCTTTGAGGCCTCTGACGTCGTTTTTAATTTTTAAAGAAAATATTTTGGCGGGTCCCTGATGGTTCGTTTTCGAAAAATTTTACAGGCTTCTATTTTTTTTAAAGCATATGAAAAAAAAATTGAGGGCCCCTGGTATCCTATTTTTAAAGAAATTTGAAAAAATCTTGCAGGTTACTAGTAGGTACCAAAAAATCTCAGGGCCCCTTTTTGCTTTAGTAATTAAAGATTTTGAAAAATCTTGAGAGCTCCTGGTACGTTTTTTTCGAAATATGAAAAACTTTTAGGGGCATTTGCTGTTTTATATTTTTCAAAATTCAAAAAAGCTTTTGATGTTCGTTTTTGAAAAATCTTGGAACCCTGCTGTTTTTTCAAGAATTTGAAAGTATCTTGGAAGCTCCTAATAGTTATACTTTTTAATAATAATAGAGAAATTTAGGGGTCTGCTACTTTAATTTTCACAAAATTTGAACGAATCGCTGGAACCCTTGTTTTTTTTTGAAAAAAAAATTACAGGATGTTGGTGTCTTTTTTTATAGAATGTAGAAAAATGTTGAACCTTGGTGTCTTATTGTTTATACAATTTGAAAACATAATTTTTTAATTGTTATTGGAATAGTTTGAAAGAATCTCGGGGGTGTTTCTGTTTTATTTGGAAGAATTTCAAGAATCTTGTGGAGTTCTAGTGTTCTTTTTTCGAAATATAAAAAAATCTTGGGGGAGTTTGCTGTTTTATATGTATTTAAAAAAATTTAAAAAAATCTTTGAGGCCTCTGATGTCGTTTTTAATTTTTACGGAATTTGAAAATATTTTGACGGGTCCCTGATGGTTCGTTTTCGATAAATTTCACAGGCTTCTAATATCTTTTTTTAAAGCATACGAAAAAAATTTTGAGAGGCCCTGGTATCCTATTTTTAAAGAATTTTGAAAAAATTTTTTGGGATCACTGATGGTTCGTTTTCGAAAAATTTTACAGGCTTCTATTTTTTTAAAGCATATGAAAAAAATTTTGAGGGCCCCTGGTATCCGATTTTTAAAGAAATTTGAAAACATTTTTTGGGAACACTGATGTTCGTTTTTTGATAAAATTTGAAAAAATTTCGCACGTTACTAGTAGGTATCAAAAAATCTCAGGGCCCCTTTTTGCTTTAGTAATTAAAGATTTTGAAAAATCTTGAGAGCTCCTGGTACGTTTTTTTCGAAATATGAAAAACTTTTAGGGGCATTTGCTGTTTTATATTTTTAAAAATTCAAAAAAGCTTTTGATGCTCGTTTTTGAAAAATCTTGGAACCCTGCTGTTTTTTCAAGAATTTGAAAGTACATATCTTGGAAGCTCCTAATAGTTATACTTTTTAATAATAATAGAGAAATTTAGGGGTCTGCTATTTTAATTTTCACAAAATTTGAACGAATCGCTGGAACCCTTGTTTTTTTTTTTGAAAAAAAAATTACAGGATGTTGGTGTCTTTTTTTATAGAATGTAGAAAAATGTTGAACCTTGGTGTCTTATTGTTTATACAATTTGAAAACATATTTTTTTAATTGTTACTAGAATAGTTTGAAAAAATCTCGGGGGTGCTTCTGTTTTATTTGGAAGAATTGCAAGAATTTTGTGGAGTTCTAGTGTTCTTTTTTCGAAATATAAAAAAATTTTGGGGGAGTTTGCTGTTTTATATGTATTTAAAAAAATTTAAAAAAATCTTTGAGGCCTCTGATGTCGTTTTTAATTTTTACGGAATTTGAAAATATTTTGACGGGTCCCTGATGGTTCGTTTTCGATAAATTTCACAGGCTTCTAATATCTTTTTTTAAAGCATACGAAAAAAATTTTGAGAGGCCCTAGTATCCTATTTTTAAAGAATTTTGAAAAAATTTTTTGGGATCACTGATGGTTCGTTTTCGAAAAATTTTACAGGCTTCTATTTTTTTAAAGCATATGAAAAAAATTTTGAGGGCCCCTGGTATCCGATTTTTAAAGAAATTTGAAAACATTTTTTGGGAACACTGATGTTCGTTTTTTGATAAAATTTGAAAAAATTTCGCACGTTACTAGTAGGTATCAAAAAATCTCAGGGCCCCTTTTTGCTTTAGTAATTAAAGATTTTGAAAAATCTTGAGAGCTCCTGGTACGTTTTTTTCGAAATATGAAAGACTTTTAGGGGCATTTGCTGTTTTATATTTTTAAAAATTCAAAAAAGCTTTTGATGCTCGTTTTTGAAAAATCTTGGAACCCTGCTGTTTTTTCAAGAATTTGAAAGTACATATCTTGGAAGCTCCTAATAGTTATACTTTTTAATAATAATAGAGAAATTTAGGGGTCTGCTATTTTAATTTTCACAAAATTTGAACAAATCCCTGGAACCCTTTTTTTTTGAAAAAAAAAAAAATTACAGGATGTTGGTGTCTTTTTTGATAGAATGTAGACAAATTTTGAATCTTGGTGTCTTATTGTGTATACAATTTGAAAACATATTTTTTTAATTGTTACTAGAATAGTTTGAAAAAATCTCGGGGGTGCTTCTGTTTTATTTGGAAGAATTGCAAGAATTTTGTGGAGTTCTAGTGTTCTTTTTTCGAAATATAAAAAAATCTTGGGGGAGTTTGCTGTTTTATATGTATTTTAAAAAATTTAAAAATATCTTTGAGGCCTTTGATGTCGTTTTTAATTTTTACGGAATTTGAAAATATTTTGGCGGGTCGCTGATGGTTCGTTTTCGAAAAATTTTACAAGCTTCTAATATCTTTTTTTAAAGCATACGAAAAAAATTTTGAGAGGCCCTGGTATCCTATTTTTAAAGAAATTTGAAAACATTTTTTGGGAACACTGATGTTCGTTTTTTGATAAAATTTGAAAAAATTTCGCGTTACTAGTAGGTATCAAAAAATCTCAGGGCGGCTTTTTGCTTTAGTAATTAAAGATTTTGAAAAATCTTGAGAGCTCCTAGTACGTTTTTTTCGAAATATGAAAAACTTTTAGGGGCATTTGCTGTTTCATATTTTTAAAAATTCAAAAAACTTTTGATGTTCTTTTTTGAAAAATCTTGGAACCCTGCTGTTTTTCTTCAAGAATTTGAAAGTATCTTGGAAGCTCCTAATAGTTATACTTTTTAATAATAATAGAGAAATTTAGGGGTCTGCTATTTTAATTTTCACAAAATTTGAACGATTCTCAGGAACCCTTTTGAAAAAAAATTACAGGATGTTGGTGTCTTATTGTTTATACAATTTATAAATCTTGGAAGTTTCTGTTGTTTTAGTTTCTAAAGAATTTGAAAATATTTTGAGGGCTCCACGTAACAGTATCTTGGAAACTCCTAATATACTTTTTAGAAATATTCAAGAAATTTAGGGAATCTGCTATTTTAATTTTCACAAAATTTGAACGAATTTCTGGAACCCTTTGTGTTTTTCTTTTTACATATGAAAAAATCTTAATAGCTAATGTTTTGTTTTTGAAAAAATTTTAGGTGATGTTGGTGTCTTTTTTTACAGCATGTAGAAAAATTTCGAACCTTAATGTCTTATTGTTTCAGCAATTTGAAAACATTTTGGAGACCCTAGTGTTCTGTTTTTGAAAAAGAAATTGAAAGAATCCTGGAGTATTTTCAGTTTTATGTTTAAAAATCAAAATAATCTTTCAATTGATTTTGGAATAGTTTGAAAGCATCTTGGGGGCCCTTCTGTTTTATTTGAAAGAATTTCAAGAACCTTGGAAGTTCCTAGTGTAGTTTTTTCGAAATATGACAAAATCTTGGGGAAATTTGATGTTTTAATTTTTAACGAATTTGAAAATACATATTTTGCGAGCTCTGGATGTTTTTTTTTTTCAAAAAACTCTTAGGGGCTCCTAGTGTCTTATTTTAAAGCATACGAAAAGTTTTTGAGGGTTTCTGGTGTCCCATTTTTGAAGAAATTTGAAAAAATCTTGGGAATCCTGATGTCTTGTTTTTTGATAAAATTTGAAAGAGTCTTGAGGGTTACTAGTCAGGATCAAAAAATCTCAGGGGCCATTTTTGTTTCAATAATTACAGATTTTGAAAAACCTTGAGAGCTCCTCGTACCCTTTTTTCGAAATATGAAAAAAATTGGAGGGCATTATATTTTTAAAAATTCAAAAAATCATTGAAGCCTCTGATGTTCGTTTTTGAAAGAATCTTGGGAGCCTCTGCTGTTTTAATTTTTAAAGAATTTGAAAATATTTTGGGGCTCCTAATATTTTGTTTTCTAAAATCTTAGAAACTTCTAGTGTTTTTTAAGCATGTGAAAGAGTTTTTAGGCGCCTCGATTGCCCTGTTTTTGAAGGAATTTGAAAAAATTTTGGGAGTTACTTCGTAAAGAATGTCGAAGGCATTTTCTGTTTCAGTGATTAAGGAATTTGAAAGAATCTTAAAAATCTTTGTATAATATATTTCAAAGAAAAGTGTCCGAATTACAAAAGTTATACAAGGCACCACTGGTACGCCATATATTTTTTACGTCGTTCCGCTCAGCTGTTCCTCTTCTCTCTGCGCCGGTCCACGCCAGCGGCGCCAGCATCACGGGGGCCGGTCCAGTGGCGGCCACGTGGCGGCAGCGATAACAGTCGGCTACGCTACCAGCCTCCGCGTCCCCGTGGAGCGAGTTGCCCTAAAAGAAGAGGGACCAGTTAACAAACAAATTAGGCTAAATCTCGCCTCAACTATTCCCGAGTTAGTAACCCTATATAACTTATTCTAGACTTATAATAACATAACCTGTTGCTAGGGGATACTAAGACAGCAACGTAGTGATCTTAGAATTCCACTAGCTGACCTTATGACGAAGAACCCTCATGGCTAGTCTCAGATTCTCCGTCGGATTCTGAACTAACTCTCACGTTGTAGGGCTTTAGCTTATCGAGGGAAACGACTCCTCTGTAGCTTCTCTGCGATCGAGAAGAACCTGTCATGTCCTCGACTACATAGCGATCATGTGTCAGGACTTCTGTAATGACAAAGGGCCCACTATACTTTGGCAGAAGCTTCTTGCTTTGGCCCTGGTTACTAGCAGCAATCGTTCGCACTAGAACCTGTTCACCTTTCTTATACGTTCGCCCCGCACGTCGATGTGCATCGAAGGAAGCTTTGCGTTTGCTTTGATGGGCGTCTATACGAGCTTTTGCGTTCGCTCTCATTGCTTGGACGTCTCCTGCATTCTCTGGTTCAATTGCCACTTCGTTGGCCAGAAATGCAGTACCAGTGCTTCTTGGCACGCATCCGAACAGCAACTCGTACGGCGATTTTCCCGTAGACGAATTCGCCGTAGAATTCAGTCCCCATCGCACTGCCGAGACGGCTTCGTCCCATCTTTGTTCATCTTCCATAGATGACGCCAGTGAGGCTAATATCGTGCGGTTGTAACGTTCAACCTGACCATTTGCTCTCGGGGTTGCCGTTGCGTTCAAAACATGCTTTATGTTTAGAGTCTTGCAGTATTCCGTGAACTGCTTACTAGTAAAACAGCTACCTCTATCTGAGATGATTCTTCTAGGAACACCAAAATTGTCTATCATGCTATTCAAGAAGTTAACCACGAGTCGTGCCTTAGTTGATGGGACTGCCTTCATGAACACGAACTTTGTAAAAGCATCTACAAGCACTATTAAATATGCATTCTTTCGTTTCGACTTGACAAAAGGGCCCAGATGATCAACGTGAAGTGTGTCAAAGGGCACCGCAATTTTCTCGATAGGGTGCATGTAGCCTGGCTTTTTCCCACCCATGTCTTTGTTGTACAAGCACGGTAGGCAACTCGATATATACTTCTTGACGTATCTACGCATTCCAGGAAACCAGTATGATGCCGATATGGCCGATATCGTCTTCATATCTGCCAAGTGGCCATTCTCGTCATGGAAATGCGAGACGACGTTTCGTCTTGCCGTCTTAGGCACAACCCACTTATTCCCGTTGTTTGTAATCTTATACAGTCTATTGTTGATAAGACGATAGTTTGCATGTATATCTCGTTCTTCCTTATCCTCTGGCTTCCGTTGCAGAGTCTCGATAAGGTACTTGCACCTATCGTCCAACATCTGAGCGGTTAGAACCCAATCATCTTCGTTGATGTTTACGGCACCTGCAATCGTTACTTCTAAACCGACAGGGTTTCTGCTCAAAGCATCAGCGTGTGACATTTTGTGTCCCGGACGATATTCGACGTCAAACGTATAATCTTGGATGCTTAGCCACCATCTTCCAATTCTAGGGACCAAATCACGCTTCGATAGAGTGGCGCGAATCGCGCTACAATCCGTCACAACCTTAAATTTCAGACCAATCAAATATATTCTAAATGCTTTCAATGTATACACCACTGCCATTGTCTCTAACTCGTATGAGTGGTATCGTTGTTCTTCCTTCGTAGTCTGTCTGGAATAATATAGTACTGGTCGAACAGTACCGTCCCTTTGCCTTTGTAATAGAATGCCACCTATTCCCCATTTGGATGCGTCAGTGTGAACCTCCGTCGTCAATTGCGGGTCGTAAATCGCCAATAGAGGTCGTGATGTTAATGACTTTTTGAGGGCGTCAAAAGCTATCCGTTGTTCGTCACCCCATGTGAAAACAGTGTCCTTTTTTGTTAGGATTGTTAGCGGTTTAGCGATTTTAGCGAAATCTCTAACATACTTTCTGAAATAACTAGCCAAGCCAAGAAACTGTCTGACACCGCGTACATCAGTCGGCGTTGGGAAATTCTCGACTGCGACTGTCTTTGCTTTCCCTGGTCGTATGCCTTGGCCACTAATCTCATGTCCTAAGTATTCAACTTTTTCCATAAAAAACTGGCACTTGGCCGGGCGTAAAGTAAGTCCAGCAGTGCGAAGTGACTGTAAGACCAGTCTTAGATTAGCCATGCCACTTTCGATGTCTTCTGTCGGCAGCAATATGTCGTCCATATAAGCTAGCGCCTTCCCGTAACGCAAATTCCCCAAAACCTTGTTTATAGTTCTTTGGAACACAGCTGGTGCGTTACACAATCCAAGTGGAACTCTGAGGAATTCGTAGTGACCGTCTGGAGTGACAAAAGCCGTTTTAGGAACAGAAGAAGCTTCTATTTGCAATTGGTGGTATCCGCTGGCCAGGTCCAGACTTGTAAAGTACCTACATCCTTTCAATTTTTCTACGAATTCGTCAACGTGTGGAAGAGGGAACCTGTCCTTTACTGTTTTGGCGTTTAAGGCTCTGTAGTCGACGCACATACGCTGCTCACCGTTTTTCTTCTTCACGAGGACTATAGGGCTCGAGTAAGGCGAATCCGATTCTTGGATGATCTCATTTTCGAGTAGATCTTTTACGATGTCTCTCACAACTTGGCGTTCATAGTGAGAGAGACGATATGGCCGATAGACCACAGGATTGTCATCCTGAAGATGTATCGACATCTTCAACACGTCGGTTTTGCCTAGATGTTTAGTGGTTGACGCAAAACAATCGCTAAATTCGTTTATTAAACTAACTAAATCACGGACCTGCGTTGGCGTGAGATGTTGATTGTATATCAGATTATGGAAATCGAAAACATCGACTACATCAACGGATTGTGTCGCTAACGGCAATGCAGTTGTTACTTTTGACACCGGAGACGACTTTTCCTCAAAACAAACTACAGACCTAACTAAGATTGTTTTGGGACTTACCTCGATATGCCGGTACGAAAGATTCGTGATGGCGACGTAGCCATCCTCCCCCCTTCGTAATACATTCGTGTACGACGTGTTCTCCATCAGGCAGCGGTCGTAAGCCACCTCTTACGTATACGTCGTCGGCACAGGCACCTCGAGAAGTCACGGCGACGAGAGCCGTTGTTCTCGGTTCTAACACGATTGATTCCTTTGCCCATAAAGGAATTTTCCTGGGAGGAACATCGAGAGTTTCGCACAAGTCACTTCCTCTTTGGGTAACTCGTACGGTCTGTCCAGAAACAATCATCATGATCTCATCTTGATTTAAGAAAGTTTGGCCCACCAGCACAGGAATTTCTTGAGCAGTATTGGGTACTATCAGGCTCTCAACTTCAGCCTCTGCACCATCTATCTTGAGTCGGATGGTCAGTTTTCCGAGAGTTTTCGTGGCTACTCCGCCGTAACCTATTACATATTTCGTGCAGGGACTGCGTTCCATGTTCAGCATGTTGGCGGTATCTTCCCGGATCAGAACAGCGCCGCACCCCGAATCAACATATGCCTGGGAGGGCGTTTCATTAACCCAGCAGTCAAAAAAATAACTACTGTTGACGGGTGCCAAGTCTTTCTCAAGGACAACTTGATTCTTGATGGACTGCCTGCGGCAATCTTTTGTAAGGTGGCCCAACCGCTTACAACTGGCACATTCCACTTTGGGTTTCGGACACTTATCGGCAAAGTGACCCTCATCCCTACAGTTATAGCATTTTGGGGGTCTTCTGGCCGGTGGTTTCGCTTTTTTTGAAGGCGGCTCATTCGATCGCTCCCTTTCGCTCAAAGGACGGCGATGTGCAGTTGTAAACGCAGTTTTCGCTACAGTCGTGCTCGAGACGGACTTTTCAGGTTTTAGAACAGAGATATATTCAGCGTAGAGCCGGTCTGGGCTCGTATATCTACCTGCTCTGGCCCCTGCTTGGACGCTTGGATCTTCAATACCATCAATAATACACGACACGGCTCTATGTCCATTAATATCGCAAGCATTTGTAAGTTCTACCTTGTCAAAGTAATATCTTTCCCATGATTCTGTAGGCAACTTCATCCGATTTACGAGGGCACGTAACGTAGTGGCGAAATCTCTGTGTTCAGGGAAGGATTTTACGAGCAATTTCTTCCACTCTTTCCAACTCAGTCGATATGTTGATAAATTATCATACCAGCGTCGAGCTAATCCACTTAGACGACTCTGCATTAAAAATATCATGGTTGGCTCATCCCAGTTATTAATTTTTGCCAACTGTTCGATTTTTGCGATCCATTTCGCTGAACTCAAATTTGGATTTCCAGGCGTGAACTCGGATATACTTTCCGGTTTTATAGCAACCCTAATTCCACGATGGTGTTTGTCTTTCGCCTTTGTTTGGTGCTTAATCAACTTTTCCACCAACGCTTCTAACATGACTTATGGTCGCTGCCCCGGCTCGTACCAGGTGCGGGACGCTTTGGAAGGTGATCGAGTACGCTTCTGTCTGCGCTTGTAGTTCCCATCCGCTGAACTCGATCTGGAGCTCGAGCTACTGGAGTAACTATCACGATCCATCGCATTCACATCACTCCCGAACTCTCACAGAAAAGCACAAGGGCTATCCCACCGCTGCCCTATAATATATTTCAAAGAAAAGTGTCCGAATTACAAAAGTTATACAAGGCACCACTGGTACGCCATATATTTTTTACGTCGTTCCGCTCAGCTGTTCCTCTTCTCTCTGCGCCGGTCCACGCCAGCGGCGCCAGCATCACGGGGGCCGGTCCAGTGGCGGCCACGTGGCGGCAGCGATAACATTTGGAGCTCTTGGTATCTTTTTTGAGATATGAAAAAGTGTCGGGGGCATTTGCTGTTTTAATCTTTAAAGAATTTGAAAAAATTTTGGGCTCCTAGTCGCTGTTTAAAGCATGTGGAAGAATTTTGAGGGCCCCTAGTATACCATTTTAAAGGAATTTGAAAAAATCTTGGGAATCCTGGTTTGCTTTTCAAAAAATTTGTAAAGAATCTCGGGGGCCCTTTCTGGTTCAATGATAAAAAATTTGAAAGAATCTTAAAAATCCTCGGAGCTCCTGAATTTGAAAAATAAAAAAATCTTGGGGGGATTTGCTATTTTATATTTTTAAAAATTGCAAACATTTTTGAAAGAACCTTCTGGTGTTTTGTTTTCGAAAAAATTTAGAGGTTCCTAGTGTCTTATTTTAAAGCATATGAAAGAATTTTGAGGGGCCCTAGTGTTCTATTTTTGAAGAAATTTGAAAAAAAATCTGGAACCCTGATGTTTTTTGACAAAATTTTAAAGAAACTTGGAGGTTACTAGTCAGTAGCAAAGGATCTTAAGGGCCCTTTTTGTTTCAGTAATTAAAGATTTTGAAAAACCTTGACAGCTCCTGGTGCGATATTTTTCGAAATATGAAAAAAATTAGGGAGCATTTGTTGTTTTATATTTTTAAAAATTAAATAAACCTTTGAAGTCTCTGATGTTCGTTTTTGAAACAATCTCGAGGGCCTCTGCCGTTTTAGTTTTTAAATAATTTGAGGGCTCCTAACGTTTTGCTTTCGAAAAAATCTTACAGGCTCCTTGTGTCTTATTTTAAAGCATATGAAATAATTTTGAGGGCCCTGGTGTCCTATTTTTGAAGAAATTTGAAAAAATCTTGGGACCCTGATGTTTTGTTTTTTGATAAAATTTAAATGAATCCTGAGGGTTACTAGTCAGTATCAAAGAATCTCAGAGGCCCTTTTTCATTCCGTAATTAAAAATTTTGAAAAATCTTGAGCTCCTGGTACCTTTTTTTTTGAAATATGAAAAAACATTGGGAACATTTGCCGTTTTATCATTTTAAAAATTAAAAAAATCTTTGAGGCCTTATTTTTGAAGAAATTTGAAAAAATCTCGGGAACCCTGATGTTGTGTTATTTGATAAAATTTGAAAGTATCTTGGGGTTACTAGTCGATCTGAAAGACTCTCAGGGACCTTTTTGTTTCAATAATTAAAGATTTTAAAAAATCTTGAGAGCTCCTGGTACCCTTTTTTCGAAATACGAAAAATTTTTGGGGGCATTTACTGTTTTATATTTTTAAAATTTTTAAAAATCTTTAAAATCTCTAATGTTTGTTTTTGGTCTTTTTTTAAACACGTTAAAAAATTTTGGGGCCACCAGTGTTTTATTTTTTAACGAATTTTATTTTTTGGGAACCCTGATATTTTGTTTTTGGAAAAAAAAGTGGAAGAATCTTGAGGGTTACTACTAAGCATCAAAGAATTTCGGGGGCCCTTCGAATCTTGGGAGTCCCTGGTGCCTTTTTTTTTGAAATATGAAAAAATCTTGGGGGTGTTTGTCGTTTTCTTTTTAAAAATTAAAAAAATCTTTGAGGCCTCTGACGCTCCTTTTCAAAAGAATCTTGGGCTCCCCTTCTGTTTTATTGTTTAAGAAAAAATCTTTGGGGTCTCTGATGATGTTTTGTATTTAAAAGAGTTTGAAGGAATCTTGGGAGTTCCTGATGTCTGAAATTAATATTAAATAACTCTAAAGCAATTTTTAAAAATCGCACTTAATGTTTTGACATGTCATCAGTTTTTGAAAGTGGACAATTTTTTGGGTTTTTTTTTTAACATTAAGATAATTTTAAAATACGACGACACAGGACAGACAAATTCTGAGGAAAAACGTCTTTTGTTCTACAAGATTAACATCTTTAATTATGACTGATTTAAATAAAAATGTTTATTAACGAATGTTTTTACCATTTTTGAATATGCAAATCTACACAACATTTTTAATTTACATGAATTTCAAAACTGCTTGGAGCTCCTGGTCTTGATTATTCTTTGTAAAAAATGATACGAGCTGAGATTTTTCAGATAAATTAAGTTTTTTTGTTCTTATCTCAATACACACATGCTGTTTATATACACACAGTGGTAAGATTTTCCGCTGTGGGTAAGGTTCGGGCTACCACACACTATCAGACGCAATAAAACCTAATAATAGTTATGTAAAAGTTTATTAACAATAATGTCCGGCAATAAAAATAAAAGTATAAAAATATAAAATGTCATTGTATCATTCCTTATAAAAATACTTTCTCTTTTCACAATCACACAACAATCAAAGGCTCGTCATGGCGGGTGGTCTCGCATAAGCCTTTGGAATAAATCCATACTTCCTAGTTTTCGGTGCATACGCCCACAACCATCCATCAACAGTTTGATTATTAAGATCAGCATATATCCAATCACCTCTTCTTACAGTTAAATCGTCAGGAGCTTGAGCTTTATAATCGTACAACATGACCAACTCCGTCCCGTGATAACGCAAATCATCCACACTGGACGTGGTCAGCAAATGCGAGTTATTTTGATTCGTCAAGTTTCCGCTCAGATTTTGATTAGCGACGCGGTTCAAATGACCTTGTATCACATTATCAGCCGGATAAACGAACCCGGACGGGATGAAGCCTTCCTGGCCGTCGCTGCGCACGATCCAGTACCAGTCGGGGTCCTCCTTGTTCAGTACTGCGACGGAAGCTTTAGCTGCTCGCGCTTTCAAGAAAGCTCATACTTACCAGTCACGAACTCCCCCCGCTCCACGGATACGTCGTTCTCGTCCCTCGCTATGAAAGTATACAGCACTATGTAACGCCCTGACGGATCTTTCGAAAATGGCAACATATCGGGTTCCGATCGGATACTAATCGGCGATCCAGCACCTCTCACTTGTTTTTTCCCCAAAGAATCGCAATCACTAGTGTCTAAACCGGCTAGATCACACTCATGATTAGTATCCGAGCTTTCCCCTGATGGCAGCTGGGTTTCCCTTGGCAGTTTTTTCTTTATGGCCAGTTCGGCTAAATGGCTGTTGTATGGCGAACAGTAGGAGTACGGGATGAACCCCTCCTGCCTGGTGTCTAGACCGATGACGTAGACCCAGTCGTTCTCGCGGTAGAGGATGTTGACGATCTTCGAAAAGCAAAGTTAGCTGTGGCCAGGTCGAAAAAGCGCAACACTCAGTAGAAGCATACTTTTCCAAATTTTGAATCAGAATGTGTTGTTTACCACATCCACCATATATGTATTTAGTAAAAATTTAATAATGGGTGTATTTCCTCCAAGTGTTGCGCGTTTTTTGTCTTGATTTAGTACCTGGCCGCGTTTGACTTCGAGCTCGTCGTCTACGCAAGGCGTGAAGTCGTGAAGAACGACCATTTTGCTGTCGGGCGACAGCCCGTGCTCTTTTTCGATTCCGACCCTGACCAGGGTCTCGATGCTGGCAGAGCCCGTGATTCGACCCATCCCCGGAGCTCCATTTATGGGTCGGTTGAGCTCCTTGTCTAGGTCTGAGATGGTGGCTGCAAATGTACCACCAAAGTTCTTATGTTGGTTAAAGTGTGGTTAGTGTATTACTCGGAGGTGGGTCAAACCAACACCGCTACTAGAGTTTCTGGTTTCTAATTTACTGTTACGTAAGTACGGCTATAACAAAGAAATAGAGAAATATAAAAGTGTGTTAGGTGTGTGAAGTATCTACTGGTTAAGTCATCGATGTCCATTTGGACGCCCACGATCGGTCGTAATAGGCAGAATTGTTTGTCGATGGAGATAATCGAGTGTTGAGTTGGTAATGGGCCTAGAAGATGAGATAATAAAGATTATCCGTATTTGGGGTTATGTCTTATCTAACAAGCTCTTCTGGCTTCTTGCGAACTTCGGATTTATTGACTTGAAATTCTTACGAAAGTTCGTTCCTGAATTATTTGTGTTATTTTTGCTCGAAATGCCAAACTTGTTAGTATTAAGTACCACAATTCGTAAAATTCCTTCATTTATAAACGATTTGCGATAAAATTGTTTCGTTGTTGCTGTTTTTTTACAAACAGGTGCAATATTTTTATGATTAACCGCAATCAAAGACAGCGTCCTTTTTCAATATTCACATATCATTTAAATTTACTACCAACTTAGCAGTGTAAAAATGTGTCTTGGAGTTTTATCAGGTACCAACCTCATTCAACACGTGGGGTATTTTTAATTTTTGAACCGACAGTAACTAATATTTTTAACGTAATGAACTCAAAAGAATGAATAGATATTTACTGAGAATCCTTATCTTTAAATACGTAATACTTTAAACTCCGAATTAAGGATCCATTACTGTTACACAACGTCATAATGAGTAACACTTTATAACTTAAATGTCATGATAACCACAGAATTGATAAAAATAACTAAACCTTAGATTAAGGAAATCACTGGAGTTCCTAAACATATCCCAACAGTTTATAAACAAAATTTTGTTTTTAGTGTATTTACGATACATTTATGTTTCAGTTTTATTATTGTTCAATTTTGAGACTTTTCAATTTTTCGAGTTCTCAATTTCACAATTAATTATTTTTTTTATTTTCCAATTTCTCGAGTTCTCGGTGTTTCGATTTTTCAATATTTTGCTTTTTTGACTTCGACGTTTCAACTTTGATTTCTGGATTTTTCAATTTTTCGATGTCAGTGTTGGGATTTTTCAGCATGTATTTCGATTTTTCAGTTCTTCGATTACCCGATTTTTGAAAATTGTTTCAATTTTTTACTTTCCGATTTTGGCCGTTTCGATTTCCCAATTTATTCGATATTTCGAATTTCAATTTTTCGATTCCCCAATTTTTCGTCATTTCAGTTTTGGAAATTTTCAATTTTTTGGTTCTTCAGTTTTTCTTCCATTTCAGTTTTTAGTTTCCAACTTCTCGATTTTTATCGTTTTCAATTTCTTGATTTCTTTGATATTTTTGTTTCTCAATTATTCAAATTTTTAACTTTTTGATGTTTCAGTTTAGGGATTTTTCAATTATGTTTTTGGTTCTTCAGTTTTTCTTCCATTTCAATTTATGGTTTTTCAACTTCTCGATTTTTTGATGTTTCGATGTGTCGATTTTTCAATTTTTCGATATTATAATTTTTCCATTTATAAAATTTTGAATTTTTCGATTTCTTGATTTCTTTCTTTGATATTTTTGTTTCTGGATTTTTCAAATATTTAAGTTTTCGATTTTTCAGTTTTTCGATTTATCGATTTTTTAAAAATTTTTTCAATATTTTACTTTCCAATTTTGGCCATTACGATTTCTCAACTTTTCGATGTTACAATTTCCCAATTATTTGTCATTTCAGTTTTAGAGATCTTCAATTTTTTGATGTTTCAGTTTTGGGATTTTGAAATTTTTTGGTTCTTTAGTTTTTCTTCCATTTTAAGTTTTAGTTTTTCAACTTACCGATTTTTACTTTTTCGAATTTTTCGTTTTTCTATTTTTAAAATTCTAGATTTTTGGATTTCCTGATTTCTTTGATATTTCTGTTTTACAATTCTTCAAATTTTTAACTTTACGATTTTTCAGTTTTTGGATTTATCGATTTTTTCAATCTCTTCAATTTTTTAATTTCCGATTTTGGCCATTTTGATATCTCAATTTTCCGATTTCACAATTTTTTGTCATTTCAGTTTTGGAAATTTTCAATTTCCCGATTTTCAATTTTTTGATGTTTCAGTTTTAGGATTTTTCAGTTTTATTCCATTGCAATTTTTAATTTTACATCTCGATTTTTTACATTTTCGATTTTTTCATGTTTCGATTTCTTGATTTCTTGGATATTTCTGTTTTACAATTTTTAGAATTTTTAACTTTTCGATTTTTCAGTTTTTCGATTTATCGATTTTTTTTTTTTTCAATTATTTTACTTTCCGATTATGGCCATTTTGAAAGCTCAATTTTCCGATTTCACAATTTTTCGTCATTTCAGTTTTGGAAATTTTCAATCTCTCGATTTTTCAGATTTTCAATTAAATTTTCCAATTTTTTTAAATTTTGAATTTTCTATTTTCAATTTTTTGGTGTTTCAGGTTTGGGATTTTTCAGTTTTTTCCATTTCAATTTGTAGTTTTTCAACTTCTCGATTTTTTACATTTTTGATTTTTTAGTTTTTTGAATTATCGATTTTTTTCATTTTTTTCAATTTTTTACTTTCCAATTTTGGCCATTTCGGTTTTACAGATTTTCAATTTCTTCATTTTTCAGATTTTCGATTTAATTTTCCTATTTATTTAAATTTTGGATTTTCGATTTTCAATTCTTTGATGTTTTTTCAGTTTTGGGATTTTTCAGTTGTTTGGTTCTTCAGTTTTTCTTTCATTTCAATTTTTAATTTTTGAATTTGTCGATTTTTTAGTTTTTAGATTTTTGAATTTTGCGATTTTTATGATGTTCCAATGTCTCGATTTCCCAATATTTCAATAATTTAATTTTTCTATTTTAAACATTTTAGATTTTTCGATTTTTTGACTTCTTTAATATACCTGTTATTCAATTTTTCAAATTTTTAACTTTTTGATTTTTTAGTTTTTGGATTCATCGATTTTTAGATTTTTTTCAATTTTCTACTTTCCAATTTTGGCCATTTTGATATCTCACTTCTCCGATTTACAAATTTTTGATGTTTCAGTTTTGGAATTTTTCAGTTTTTTTTTCCATTTCAATTTTTAGTTTTTTTAACTATTTTTTATTTATTAGAATGAATTGAATTTTTCGATTTTTAAATTATAGATTTATCATTCTTCGATTTCTCGATGTTCCGATTTCTCATTTCTTCGATATTTCAATTTTTCTATTGTTAAAATTCTAGATTTTTCGATTTCTTGATTTCTTTGATATTTGTTTTTCACTTTTCTTTCATTTTTCAATTTTTCGATGTGAGTTTTGGGATTTTTCGATTTCTCGATTTTTTCCTTTTTGGATTCTTCAATTTCCCGATCTTTCGAATTCTGGCTTTCGATTTTTTGAATTCTCGTTTATAGATTTCGATTTTTCAGTTTTTCGATTTATTGATTTTTTAAAATTTTCTCAATTTTTTACTTTCCAATATTGGTCATTTCAATTTCACAATTTTTCGATGTTTCAATTTTTCGATTTCCCAATTGTTTGCACTTCAGTTTTGGAGATTTTCAATTTCCGAATTTTTCAGATTTTCAATTCAATTTTCCTACTTTTTAAAATTTTTCGATTTTTAATTTTTTGATGTTTCAATTTTGGGATTTTTCAGTTTATCTTCCATTTCAATTTTTAAATTTTAGATATATATCAATTTTTTCGATTTCTTGATTTTTTTGATACTTTTGTTTTTCAATTATTCAAATTTTTAACTTTCGGATTTTTCAGTTTTTCGATTTCTGAATTTCTCGATGTTTCAACAATTTTTCGTCATTTCAGTTTTGGAAAATTTTCAAGTTCTCGATTTTTCAGATTATCGATTCAATTTTCCAATTTTCTTAAATTTTGGATTTTCGATTTTCAATTTTTTGATGTTTCAGTTTTTGGATTTTTCAATTTTTTTGATTTTTCAATTTTTCGAATTCTGGCTTTCGATTTCTCGAATTCTCGGTTTTAGATTTTTCGATTTTTCAGTTTTCCGATTTATCGATTTTTTTAAATTTTCTGAATTTTTTATTTTCCGACTTTGGTCACTTCGATTTCTCAATTTTTGGATGTTTCGATTTTTCAATTTTTGGATTTCCCACTTTTTCCTCACTTCAGTTTTGGAGATTTACAATTAAATTTTCCTGTTTTTTTAAATTTTTAGATTTTTAATTTTTTGATGTTTCAATTTTAGGATTTTTCAATTTTTTAGTTTTTCAATTTTTCTTCCGTTTCAATTTTTGGTTTTCCAACGTCTCTATTTTTGAGTTTTTCGGTTTTTAAATTTTAGATTTATCAATTTATTCGATTTCTTGATTTTTTTGATACTTTTGTATTTCGATTATTCAAAATTTTGACTTTCAGATTTTTCAGTTTTTCGATTTATCGATATTGTTAATTTTTTTCAATTTTTTACTTTGCGATTTTGGCCATTTCGATTTCTATATTTTTCAATGTTTCGACAATTTTTCATCATTCCAGTTTTGGAAATTTTCAATTTCTCGATTTCTCAGATTATCGATTCAATTTTTCAATTTTTTTAAATTTTGGACTTTCGATTTTCAATTTTTTGATGTTTCAGTTGTTAAATTTTTCGAATTCTGGCTTTCGAATTGTCGAATTCCCGGTTTTAGATTTTTAAGTTTTCCGATTCATCGATTTTTTAAATTTTCTGAATTTTTTATTTTCCAACTTTGGTCATTTTGATTTCTCAATTTTTCGATGTTTCGATTTCTCCAATTTTTAGTCACTTCAGTTTTGGAGATTTACAATTCAATTTTCCTGTTTTTTTAAATTTTTTGATGTTTCAATTTTTGGATTTTTCAATTTTTTGTTTTTTCAGTTTCTTCCATTTCAATTTTTGGTTTTCCAACTTCTCGATTTTTGAGTGTTTCGACTTTTAAATTTTAGATTTATCAATTTTTTCGATTTCTTGATTTTTTTGAGACTTTTGCTTTTCAATTATTCAAATTTTTAACATTCAGATTTTTCAGTTTTTAGATTTATCGACATTTTTAAATATTTTCAATTTTTTACTTTGTGATTTTGGATATTTCGATTTCTAAATTTCAGTTTTGGAATTTTTAAATTTTTTGATTTCTCGATGTTCCAATTTCTAGTTTTTTCGATATTTTAATTTTTATATTTATAAAATTTTAGATTTCTCTATTTCTTTAATATTTGTTTTTCAACTGTCGAACTTCTCGATTTTTCAGTTTTTCGATGTATCGATTTTTTTAACTTTTTTCAGTTTTGTACTTTCCCATTTTGGCCATTTCGATTTCTCAATTTTTTGATGATTCGAATTTTCAGTTTTTGGATTTTCGATTTTCAATTTTTTGGTTCTTCAGTTTTTCTTACATTTCAATTTTTACTTTTTCAACTTCTATATTATTGTACCTTTTTGGATTCATGAATTTTTCGATTTTTTGATGTTTCGATGTCTCGATTTCTTGACTTGTTTGATATTTGTCTTTCAATTTTTCAAGTTATTTTAACTTTTCGATTTTTCGGTTTTTCGATTTATCGTTCTTTTTTTCAATGTCTTCCATTTTTTACTTTCCGATTTTGGCCATTTCGATTTCTCAATTTTCTGATGTTTCGATTTCCCAATTTTTGGTCATTTCAGTTTTGAAAATTTTCAATTTCTCGATTTTTCAGATTTTCAATTGAATTTTACTATTTTTTAAATTTTGAATTTTTGATTTTCAATTTTTTGATGTTTCAGTTTTGAGATTTTTCAATTTTTTGTTTCTTCAGTTTTTCTTCCATTTCGATTTTTAGTTTTTCAATTTCTCGAATTTTTGATGTTTCGATGTCTCGATTTCTCAATTTTTCGAATTTTACTTTTTCTATTTTAAAAATTTTAGATTTTTCGATTGTTTTGCTTTTAAGTTTTTCAATTTTTAACTTTCCGATTTTTACATTTTGGCCCACTGCGATTTCTCAATTTTTGATTTCTCGATTTTTTCGTCAATTTATAAATTTCGGATTTTCGATTTCTCGATTTTTTGATCTCTCGGTTTTTTGAGTTTTCGACCTTTTGATTTTCGAATTTTAGATTTTTCAACATTTAAATTTTTCGATATTTTGATGTTTCGATTACTCGATCTTTCGATTTTTCAAATTTTCGGACCTTGGTTTTACAATTTCTCGATTTTTAAAATTTTTTGAAACTTGGAAATTCACAAAATTTCGAAAATCTGGATAATTTTATTTTTAGTATACATTTTTAAATATGTGTCCAGAATTTTGAATTCCAAAATAATAAAAGTAAAATCTCCTGGACTTATGTTATCTCTTTTTGAAATTTTCAGTAGTAGTAGATTTAAAATTTACCGAATTTTCTCAAGTAGCTGCAGTTGATGAACACACTATAAACACAATTATTTCATTCTTAGTGTATTTATGGCATATTTGGAACTCGAATATTCATATAATTTCAAAAATAATGGAAACTTTTATTTTTAGTATGTATTTTCAAATTTAGCTACAAAAATGTGTTTTCGCAATAGTTCAGATTTATGACTAAAATTATATCTAAACTGCATTAATATTTGTTTTTTACGCAAGATTATACACAAAGGTGGAAATATACTGGCAACACATGCGGTTATCTATGTTACGCTTGGTATACAGACCTTCCTTTGTCTCCAAAGCATAACCAATACTAATACTAGTTGTGCTTCAGAAGCAACTATGAACTTCTTTGTTAATGTTAAAATAAACTTATTCCACCATTTTTTTTTTTATAACAATCGAATGAGTTGTTTTCGTGGTATGTAGATATTTCTAAAAAATGTTATCACAAAAACAAGCAAATAAGTGACATTTACGTAATTGGAATTCAATATGACGTCACTTCTGAGAAAACATTAATTTATTGCGTTCCTGGAACTACGTAAATTAGATAAGTTTGTAAGTTTATCTGTAAATCAGATCGCTTACTTCATTTCTTTTAACATAACGTCATGTGCTTTTGGAAATTAAAGTTAATTCTCTGAATGAGGCTTAAAAATTTTTGGCCTGACGTCATCAGTTTTTTGGGGGGGATGAATGACGCACTTACAGTCTAGACAACAACTTGTAACTTCAGACAGATTATCCGTGTGATGAATCACTACTTGACAGAGGACAAACAAGGGAATAAAACCGACTTCTCCTATTCTATGAGCTATAAAACGCTATCACGGGTAGATAGATATTAGTGAAAATAAACCTAGTGATGTTTGAGAATCTTTTTAAATAACGTTTCCGCCCATCATAAACCAAAAAATAAATAACTTCCTCGCTGTCTTATCGCCCATCTCCTTGTATCTATTATGTGACGTATTTACGCACAGCTTAATTATCTTTTTATCTCGCCCATTATAAATTACGTGGTATTGGTATTACACAATATTTAGAATCGTAAAATTAATTAAACGGTACACAAACCCAGAACAGGTTGGAACCTGTTCACAAACAAATGTTTGTCCAAACAACAAATCGTACATATTTTTCCTCCCAAACAAAGCACCATCCACATTTCCCACCGTTTTGCTTTTAAAATAACCCAGTTATCGCTTTTCACGATAAAAAAACCAGCCTTTAACATTATCGTACTGGAAGTTGGGGTAGACCATTGCGATAAAAGATAACTAACAAACCAAACAGAATTTATTTCAGTTTGAACGAAATTATCACTGTGAAAATACAACCACTTCATTAGACCCAATTGGGTACATTTTCCCACGGTTGTTCGCTGCTCCCACTCAGGTCCAGAAGCAACAGGTAGGTGTACCCACACGGTTATTGGTCGCCGAGCTTATTTATTCCACCAAAATATTGCTGTTTTTGTTTTTGCCATAAACAAAAGCTTGGCTTTCTTTGTGTTTGGTCTGGTCAGTGGGAAAAAATGAGGGCACATTCTTCGGGGGGCCAACCGAAACCTTCCACCGCGTCACCCCGTTCATGCTGTTATTGTTGTCGCGGGGCTACTTGTTAGTGTTTTTATTCAAAGGGGGCCCCCTTGTTAACCGCAATGCAACAAGCGTTAAAGGAAATTCGGGTTGTATGAAAATTGGACTAAATTTTACTCACATTTTTTCTTCTTGCCTCGTCTGATACGCACAGGGCATAGAAATGCCATTTTTGCTAATTGTTTATCTCATTTTTAAACAAATCACAGTATTTAACAATTACAACTGTACTTCTGTCAAACACGATGATCTTTTGATCAACGGAGGCTGCGATCAAAGTTTTTAATTGTGGTGCCGCGAGATGGCGCGGTTTCGCAAGTCCTGGCAAAAAATAACTAAACCTCCGCAACGACTGACCTTTGTATTTTCTAGCCCCCACGTTTCGACGTTGCTTCCTCTATAAAAAACGATTTTTTTAATCGCCGCATTCGCGGAAATTTTGTCATTCTAGTGTGAGTAGGGGGCGCCACCAGCGGCTGTCATAAAATGTGTCATGCGAACGTCAAAGTGTCAGTGACTCGAGGCGGCTGTTTTTTACGCTACTTTAAAATTCATAAAATTAGTAAATAACTTTCATTTGGGGCCTGTGCAGGGAAAAAGGTGTGAATAATGAAAATGCCCCCGACTGGTTTCGAGAACAAGTACTCCCGGCTCCTCAACCAAGAAGAAAATTTGCAGGTTTTCAAATTGCTGGGAAATCGGTGTCAGGTAAGGGTATAACGGTACAACTTGGAGCAATTAATTCCGCTAATTGCCGCGATCGTAATCTCGTGAACAGGTCAAAGTCATGTCGAATAATTTTTAGTCAATATGCACAACTGTGGCCCAGCTTTTCTGCACAGAGCCTCCGTATCATTCCCAGTGGCTGAAGAAGGACGTGGGGGTGCTGTGCTTCGTGAAAGACAACAGCAAGAAGAACTACTTCTTTCGGTTGTTTTGCTTGAGGAGGAACATGCTGGTGTGGGAGCAGGAGATGTACAAAAATATGGACTACAACGAGTCGACGTTGTTTTTGCATATTTTTGAAGGAGAAGTACGTAGGCGCGGTGGGTGGTGCGGTTTTTAATGGGTGTTTGTAGGACACGATGGTGGCGTTCAATTTTGCGAGTACCGATGAAGCAAAGGATTTTAAAATGGTCGTGGACGATAAACTCATGGTGCGCAAAAAAAGGGAAGGTTAGTATGAGGAGGGGTTTATGGGTGTGAGTACTTCAGTTGCATTCTAATGAGTAAATATTATGATGGTATTTGATATAGCAACTGATGTGATTAGATTAGTTTAACAATGTTATCCGTTATATAATCAAATCAAAAAAATTTGTTTGGTTTTTTTAGTTCAATTTTGTAAAATTAAAAAGTAGTATTCAAATTTTGGAAAATTATCATTATTCATAGATTGAATGTTTGAACTATAAGGTGTTTATAGTTTGATAGTTTCTACTTGAATTTGTCATTTTCAAGGAGACAGATTCTGCTAATATTGGAGATAAGGAGACTAAAAATACTTTGACGTCATTTAATTACTGGAAAAATATAAGACAACGTTTTACAAAGCCGAGAAGCGTTTTGGGTCTAAAATTCATTCATGAATTTATTTTTTAAAACACTCGTTTTCATATTAAATTAAAAATATTTTAAATATTTTATTAAAAAAAATCTAGATTAAACGGTACAAATATGTAATTCGGAGTAATCTGTTCGCTAGTCCATCTCGTAAAATTATCACCAGACGAAAGATGCATAAGTTGAATTTATTTTTATTACTGTTGGTGTGTTACCTGCTTTTAAAAAAATTGACAAAATACAACAATCTATTTGTAGGGAAGATTCTAAAAATAGTACATACTCAAGCGATATTCAAACACATTGGGTATTTCCAAGATAATCTGATTAAAATCTTTGGACGCAAAATTATATTAGTTTTATAATCAAATTATTTTCGAATTTCTATAATTTTTGGATATCTTTTTGCGATTTTTAATGGTAGAAGATTTAGAATTTACAAAATTTTCTCAAATCATTGCAGATAATAAAGATATCCTGACACATTTTAACCAAAATTTTGTTTATAGTATATTTAGGCCACATTTGGAACTTGGAAATTCACAAAATCTTGAATATATGGAAAATTTTATTTTTAATACATATTTTCAAATAATTGTCCAGAATTTTGGTTTCCAAGTAATCTGACTAAAATTTTCTGGATTTTTAAAATTGCATTACTTTTAGATTCAAATTATTTTATTTATAATTATGGAGTCCTAAGTAAAATTTTTGGATCTTTTTTTTTAAATTATTAGTAGTTGAAAATTTAGAACTTAACGAAATTTTCTCAAATCATTGAAATTAATAAAGATATCCTGACACATTTGGAAATTGGAAATTCACAAAATCTTGAAACTATGGAAAATTTTAATTTTAGTATTTTCAAGTAGTGTCCAGAATTTTGGTTTCCAAAATAATCTGACTAATATTTTCTGGACTTTTAAAATTATGTTACGTTTAGAATAAAATTATTTTCGAATTTCTATCATTTTTGTAGTCATAAGTAAAACTTTTGGATTTCTTTTTGCAATTTTTAGTAGTAAAAAATTTAGAATTTACGAAGTTTTTTCAAATCATTGCAGTTAATAAAGATATCCTAACGCATTTTAGCAAAATTTTGTGTCTGATGTGTTTAGGCCACATATGGAAATTGGAAATTCACAAAATTTCGAAAATATCGAAAATTTTTATTTAATATTTTCAAATATGTATCCAGAATTTTGATTTCCAAGATAATCTTACTAAAATTTTCTGGAGTTTTAAAATTATATTACTTTTAGAATGAAATTATTTTCGAATTTCTATCATTTTTGGAGTCATAAGTAAAACTTTTGGATTTCTTTATGCAAATTTTAGTAGTAAAAAATTTTGAATTTACGAAATTTTTTCAAATCATTGCAGTTAATAAAGATATTCTAACGCATTTTAGCAAAATTTTGTGCCTGTTGTATTTAGGCCACATTTGGAACTAGGAAATTCACAAAATTTCGAAAATATCGAAAATTTTATTTTTAGTATTTTCAAATATGTGTCCAGAATTTTGATTTCCAAGATAATGCGACTAAAATTTTGTGGACTTTTAAAATTATATTACTTTTAGCATGAAATAATTTTCGAATTTCTATAATGTTTGGAGTGATAAGTAAAATTTTTGGATTTTTTTTTTGTAATTTTTAGTAGTAAAAAATCTAAGTTTACGAATTTTTTTCAAATCAGTGCAGTTAATAAAGCTATCCTGGCACATTTTATATTTAGTATTTTCAACCGTGTATCCAGAATTTTAGTTTCCAAGATAATCTGATTAAAATGTTCTGGATTTTAAAAATTATATTACGTTTAGAGTCAAATTGTTTTCGAATTTCTGTAATTTTTGGGGTCATAAGTAAGGTTTTTGAATCTCTTTTTGAAATTTTTAGTTTTAGAAGATTTAGAATTTACGAAATTTTGTCAGGTCATTGCAAATAATAAAGATACCCTGACGCATTTTGAGCAAATTTTTGTTTTTGGTATATTTAGGCCACATTTGGAACTTGGAAATTTCACAAAATTTCGAAAATATCGAACATTTTATCTTTAGTTTTTTCAAATATGTATCTAGAATTTTTGATTCCAACATAATCTGACTAAAATCGTCTGCTCTTTTAAAATATTGCTACTTTTAGAATCAGGTTATTTTAGAATTTCTATAATTTTTGGAATCCCAAGTAAAACTTTTGGACTTCTTTTTGCAACTTTTAGGAGTAGAACATTTACAATTCACGATATTTTCTCAAATTATTGCAGATAATAAAGATATCTTAATGCATTTTGAACAAAATTTTGTTTCTCGTGTATTTAGGCCACATTTGAAACTTGGAAAATCACAAAATTTCGAAAATATCGAAAATTTTATTTTTAGTATTTTCAATTATGTATCCAGAATTTTGGTTTCCAAGATAATCTGACTGAAATCTTCTGCTCTTTTAAAATAATGCTACTTTTAGAATGAAATTATTTTCGAATTTCTATAATTTTTGGAATCCTAAGTAACATTTTTGGACTTCTTTTTGCAACTTTTAGGAGTAGAAGATATAGAATTTACGAAATTTTCTCAAATCATTGCAGTTAATAAAGATATCCTGACACATTTTGAACAAAATTTTGTTTCTAGCGTATTTAGGCCACATTTGGAACTTTTGTGTTTTCAAGATAATCTGATTAAATTCTTCTGGACTTTTAAAATTATATTATTTTTAGAATAAAATTTTTTTCGAATTTCTATAATTTTTCGATACCCAAGTAAAACTTTTGGATTTATTTTTACAATTTTTGCTAGTAGAAGATTTAGAATTTACGAAATTATTTCAAATCATTGAAGTTAATAAAAATATCTTGACACGTGTTAAGCAAAATTTTGTTTCTAGTGTGTCTAGGCCACAATTGGAACTTGGAAATTCACAAAATTTCGAAAATATCGATCATTTTATTTTTATTTTTTTCAAATATGTATCTAGAATTTTTTTTTACAACATAATCTGACTAAAATCTTTTGTTCTTTTAAAATAATGTTACTTTTAGAATCAAATTATTTTCGAAATTCTATAATGTTCTCAAATCATTGCAGTTAATAACGATATCCTGACACATTTTGAGCATATTTTTTTTCCAGTGTATTATGCCACATTTGGAACTTGAAAATTCACAAAATTTCGAAAATATCGAACTTTTTATTTTTAGCTTTTTCAAATATGTATCCAGAATTTTGGTTTCCGAGATCATCTGACAAAATTTTCTGGATTTTTAAAAAAATATTACTTTTCGCATCAAATTTTTTTCTAATTTCTATAATTTTTGGAATCCTAAGTATCATTTTTTGATCTCTTTTTGCAATTTTTAGCACTAGAAGATTTAGAATTTACGAAATTTTCCCAAATCATTGCAGTTAATAAAGATAACCTGACACATTTTAAGCAAAATTTTGTTTTTGGTCTATTTAGGCCACATTTGGAACTTGGAAATTTACAAAATTTCGAAAATATCGATCATTTTATTTTTACTTTTTTCAAATATGTATCTAGAATCTTTAATTCCAACATAATCTGACTAAAATCTTTTGTTCTTTTAAAATAATGTTACTTTTAGAATCAAATTATTTTCGAATTTCTATAATTTTTGGAGTCCTAAGTACAATTTTGGGATCTCTTTTTGCAATTTTTAGTAGTAGAAGATTCAGAATTTACGAATGTTTCTCAAATCGTTGCAGTTAACAAAGATATCCTGACACATTTTGAACAAAATTTTATTTCTAGTGTATTTAGGCCACATTTGGAACTTGTAAATAAATTCACAAAATTTCGGAAATATCGAAAATTTTATTTTTAGTTTTTTCAAATAAATATATATCCAGAATTTGGGTTTCCAAGATAATCTGACTAAATTCTTCTGGACTTTTAAAATTATATTATTTTTAGAATAACATTGTTTTCGAAATTCTATAATTTTTGGAGTCCAAGTAAAACTGTTCAATCTCATTTTGCAATTTTTAGTAGTAGAAGATTTTAAATTTACCAAAAAAAAAATCGCAAAACCAACATGGTTAAAGTAAAGTAAATACGTGATTTTTAATCTTACTTAAATACGATTTGTTTAATTTGTATATCGTTTAGGACTGTGTCAATAATTTGTTAGAAAAACTAACATTAACAACCGAGATTTGTGTGTTTAGCTTCTTTATAAAATTGGTGATTTTTTATCTGGGGTTTCATAATTCACTGTAGATTATCTCAAAAAAAAAAAACGTAGACATACTATAAATACACTTATTGAGAAAATTATTGTTATCATCACAATTACTTGAAAACAAATAACATATGTTACAACACGAGAGTTACTAAAGTTGGCGTATATAATGGGAAAATTATCCAGCGATGACTCCATTTTACAAATTCAGGTCGCTTAAAAATAATTTTCTGGTAAAGAACCGTACAACTTGCACCTGTGCCTTACTTGATTTTAGTAATCGTAATGAAAATAGTCTTGTCTGAATACCGACCTTTCCCAGATTAGTAATAAAAAATAATAAGGAAAATTACGTTAAAATAAACCTGGCTATCAACTAAAAATAGAGTAAAACCATGTTTCGTGGTTTGTTATCTTTTTGATGAAGATAAGCATAACACAAGCGATGTGGTAAGAACATAAACAAATATTTTCCTTGATACAGCCCTGAAATTTACGCAGGTCCTTGAATGCAACGTGTTTCGAATGTTTTGCAAGTTACACCTGCATCTTCACGTACTAATTTTAGAAAGATTTCACTTCTAGTCAAACACCAATTTGATCAAAATTCTGCTAGAACTGAAATCTTTGATGTTCGAACTGTGGAAAGTGCTTATTTTACTTGTGAGCTGTAGGTAACGAAATCGTTAATGTAGAAAATAAATAAAGTGGGTCCTAGAATTGTTCCTTCTGTTACCCCATTTAAAAAAAAATTTTTTTTTATTATAGAAAAACGTTCCAAACAGCAACAAAAAAGCCCCGTAATCCAACAAAACATAATAAACTCCCACACACTGAAAGAGCCCCACGACTACAGAAGAGTACAAGATCCAGGTAAATTAAATAAAAAAACAGCCAATCAGAGCCCCAAATCACGTTTCTCGTCGTAGCCGTGAAGTTAGCAAAGCGCAAAAGAAACATCACCAAAGCCGACATCGGCGTCCCCCTCGACTTCAAACACATATCTCACGTCGGGTGGAACCCGGACTCGGGCTTCGACATCGACAGCCAAGACGAACAACTCAAATGCTTTTTCGAGAAAGCCGGAATCTCGGAGAAGCAGCTGCAAGACCCCCACACGAAAGAGTTCATTTACGACTTCATCAACAAACACGGGGGACGAGAAGCCATCGAAGAATCCACGAATCGGCTGTCTTTGGGGCGAAAAGCGCCTGCAGTACCACCGGTGCCTCCGGTGCCACCCAGAGGGCCGCCGCGGTCCCACGTGGTACGTACTAGCGACAAGTCTACATTAATGTATTAATTAATTAATTGATTTAGCGTGTGGCACCGCCCCCACCGCCAGTCCCATCACCGAATGCCGTCAACCATGTGGAAAGTACGTCTGCTCTTGTACTCGTTGTATTTTTTAACTGTGCGTGTGCCACTTGTAGATGAGAAACCCATCCCGCCGCCGCCTCCAGTGGTCGACTTCGGCGCCGTGCCGCCCCCTCCGCCCGTGCCTATGTTCAACGATATGTCCCACGGGGACTCCATACCGCCCCCGGCGCCAGCTATGGGTTCCGCGCTTTTGGAGAGTATCAAAACTGGTACTACTTTGAAGCCCGTGGAGGATCGGAAGATGCCTCCTTCGCCGGTGGAGGATTCGCGTGGGCAGTTGTTGAAGGAGATTCGTGAAGGCACGAAGTTGAAGCCTGTTTGTGTACGTATAGGGTGAATTTGGAGGGGATTGGGGTGATTTTTGGTTGATTTTTTTTAGGAGAGGGATGTCAAACCGGTTAGTACTGTGGTGGAGCCGAGGCATGGGGATTTGGCAGAGGCTTTGGCCAGGGCGTTGGCCGAGAGGAGTAAGGCGATACATTCGGAGGACGATGATGATGAGGATGATTCGAACGACGATGAATGGGAAGACTAAATTTTATCGAATAATAGATGATATTTATATTAATGGTGTTAATCAGAGGTTCTATGTCTAATAGAAAGTTATAACTGTTATTGGGGGTGTTTTATTGAGGCGGTGTCTGAGTGATCTATTGATTTTTTTACAAAAAGTTAAGTTCAATCTTGAAGAAAATGATTTTTTTTAACTTATAAATTCTACGAACAAATTAATAAAAAAAGAAATTCTAGCAATTTACATGCACACTGCATTTGCACTCTCGAGGTTGTTTTTTTCATAATATTCTTATGAGACCGTAGTATTCCAAAAAGAGTATTTAGAATGCGAGCGCAGCGAGCTCGTTTAGGTGTAATTTAAAAAAATATATTTACAGGTATCCGTGAGAAGCTAAATCATCAAGAAAAATTTTATTATTTAAAAATGTGAGATTAAGATCACTGTAATATCTCTGGAGTTGAAACATTCGAAACGTGATCGCTACGCTCACATTTTAGAGTTTGATTTTGTAATTTACCTTCATAGGAAGATCTCGAAAATTATTATAATAAAATCTAATAATAGTTAGCCTTGCTGACCGTTCATTCTTAAGTGTTTTATTGATACTAAATTAATTAAAAAAAAAAAAAAATGATAAGAATGCGAGTGTAGCGAGCACATTTGAAATCTTAGAAACATTAAGCACGTCAAAAATGTGTAATTTTTCTGTCAGAAAATCTGTCAAGATTCCCTCATATTTCGTCAAAAATTTTCAGCTCCTTACAAATCGTTTCAGATCCTATCGAATTTTTCCAGATAGCTTTAGATCCTTTCAAATCCCTGCAGACTGTTCTAGATTCTTCCAGTTCTTTTTTTTTGGATTCTTCTAGAGTCTTACAAGTTCCCTCAGATTCTTTCATATTCCTTCAGATTCTTTTCGAATGTTTCAATTTCTCGCAGATTCTCCCAGATTCCCTCAGATTCCTTCAAATTCTCTTAGATTTTCTCAGATTCTCTCCATCTTCTCACATTCTCTTAGATTTTTCCAGAGTTTTTCAGATTCCTTCCGATTTTTTCCGATTGTCTCAGATTCTCAAGAATTTTTCACCTTTCATCAGATCACTTCAGATTCATGCAAACTCGTTCAGCTTCTTCCAGATTCTTTCAGATGCCTTCAGAATTTTACATTTTCTTGCTGATTCTCTCCTTCAATTCGATTTTTTTAGATTATTTCGGATGCTTTTCGTTGCTTCCGGATTATTTCAGATTCTTTCGAATTTTTTCAGCGTCAGGAAGCCTCAAGATTCTTTCAAATATTTCAGTTTTTTTTTTAGATTCTTTTAGATTTTTCTAAATTCTTCGAAATTCCTCAATATTCGCTCAGATTCTCGCAGGTTCCTTTAGATTCTTTCAGATTCTTTTCCAATCTTCTAATTTCTCTCAGATTTTCGCAGATTCTCCCAGATTCCCTCAGATTCTCTCCATTTTCTTACATTCTCTTAGATTCTCTCAGTCTTTTAGATTCCTTCAAATTCTTTCCGAATCTCCCTGATTCTTTCCGAATATCCCAATTTCTTTCAAGTTCTCTTAGATTCCCTCAAATTCCTCGGATGGTTTCAAATTCTTTAATTTTCTTTCTAATTCTCACTTTCAGACTCTTTCGATTTTTTTTTTATTCTTTCGGAATATTTCGGGTACTTTTTGATGCTTCTGGATTGTTTAAGATTCTTTCGAATATTTTCGGATTCTTTCAAAGAAACCATCAGGAATCCTTAAGATTCTTTCAAATTTTTCAGTTCTATTCACATCGTTTCAGATCCTTATAGATCCTTTCAGATTCTTCAAAATTCTTCCAGTTGTTTTTTAGATTCTTTAAAATTTTTCTTAATTCTTCGAAATTCCTCAATATTTGCTCAGATTCTCACAAGCTCCCTCAGATTTTTTCAGATTCCTTCAGATTCTTTTCGAATCTTCCAATTTCTCTCAGATTTTTGCAGATTCTCTCAGATTCCCTCAGATCCTCTCGATTTTTTTCACAACCTCGTAGATTCTCTCAGAGTCTTTCAGATTGCTTCAGATTTTTTGCAATTCTCTCCGATTCTCAAGCATCCTAGCTTTTTTTTAGATTTTTCTAGATTCCTTCAAATTCTTTCCGAATTTCTCCGATTCTTTCCGAATATCCCAATTTCTCTCTTAAATGCCCTCAAATTTTTCAAATGCTTTCAGATTCTTTCATTTTATTTCTGATTCTCTCCTTCAAATTCTTTCTATTTTCTTCATTCTTTTGGATTATTTTGGATGCTTTTCGATGTTTCCGGATTGTTTCAGATTCTTCCAAAGAAACCGTCAAGAATCCTCGACATTCTTTTAAATTTTTCAGTTCTATTCAGATCGGTTCAGATTCCTACAGATTCTTCAAAATTCTTCCAAATTCGTGAAGTTTTTTTTTATTCTTTTCTTTCAGATTTTTATAAATTCTTCTAAATTCCTCATTATTCGCTCAGATTCTCACAAGCTCCCTCAGATTCTGTCAAATTGCTTCAGATTCTTTTCAAATCTTCCAATTTCTCTCAGATTTTCGCAGATTCTTCCAGATTCCCTCAGATTCCTTCCGATTCTCTTAGACTATCTCAGATTCTTTCGATTTTGCCATATCCTCTTAGATTATCACAGTCTTTCAGATTCCTTCAGATTTTTTGCGATTCTCTCGGATTCTCAAGAATCCCAGTTTTTTTTAGATTTTTCTCTACTCAAAAACTCCTCCAGATTCCTTCAAATTCTTTCCGGATGTCTCAGATTTTTTTCGAATATCCCAATTTCTTTTAAATTCTCTTGGATTCCCTCAAATTCCTCAGATGGTTTCAGATTCTTTCATTTTCTTTCTGATTCTCACCTTCAGATTCTTTCGATTTTTCTAATTCTTTCAAAGAAACCGTCAGGAATCCTCAAGATTCTTTCAAATTTATCAGTTCTATTCAGATCGTTTCAGATCCTTACAGATCCTTTCAGATACCTGCAGATTCTTCAAAATTCTTCCAGTTTTTTTTAGATTCTTTTAGATTTTTCTAAATTCTTCGAAATTCCTCAATATTCGCTCTCTCAGATTATTTCAAATTCCTTCAGATTCTTTTCAAATCTTCCAATACTTCTCAGATTTTCGCAGATTCTTCCAGATTCCCTCAGATTCCTTCCGATTCTCTTAGACTATCTCAGATTCTTTCAATTTTCTCATATCCTCTTAGATTCTCTCAGAATCTTTCAGATTTTTTCCGATTCTCTCGGATTCTCAAGAATCCCAATGTTTTTTTAGATTTTCCTCTACTCACAAGTTTCTGCAAATTCCTTCAAATTCTTTCCGAATCTCTCAGATTTTTTCCGAATATCTCAATTTCTTTTAAATTTTCTTAGATTCCCTCAAATTACTCAGATGGTTTCAGATTCTTTCATTTTCTTTCTGATTCTCACCTTAAGATTCTTCCGATTTTTTCTAATTCTTTCAAAGAAACTGTCAGGAATTCTTAAGATTCTTTCAAATTTTTCAGTTCTGTTCACATCGTTTCAGATACCTGCAGATTCTTCAAAATTCTTCCAACTCCTTCCAGGTTTTTTTAGATTCTTTTAGATTTTTCTAAATTCTTTGAAATTCCTCAATATTCGCTCAGGACGAAGGACGAAAAGGACGAGAAGGACGAAAAGGACGAGAAGGACGAAAAGGAAGAAAAGGACTAAAAGGACGAAGGACGAAAAGGACGAAGGACGAAAAGGACGAAGGACGAAAAGGACGAAGGACGAAAAGGACGAAGGACGAAAAGGACGAAGGACGAAAAGGACGAAGGACGAAAAAGACGAAGGACGAAGGACGAAAAGGACGAAAAAGCCAAAGGACGAAAAGGACAAAGGGCGAAAAGGAAAAAAGGGACGAAGGACGAAAAGGACGAAGGACGAAGGACGAAAAAGGCGAAAGACGAAAAGGAAAAAAATAACGAAGGACGAGAAGAACGAAAACGAAAAAGGCGAAAAGAATGAAGGATGAAAAGGACGAAAGACCCAAAGGACGACGGGCGAAAAGGACGAAGGCCGAAAAGGACGAAAAAAAATACGGAAAGGACGAAAAGGACGAAGAGAACGAAAAGGACGAAAAGGACGAAGGACGAAAAGGACGAAGGACGAAAAGGACGAAGGACGAAAAGGACGAATTTTCCGATTTCTCTCAGATTTTCGCAGATTCTCCCAGATTCCCTCAGATTTCTTCAGATTCTCTTAGATTCCCTCAGATTCTCTCGATTTTTTCGCATACTCTTAAATTCTTCCGGACTCTTTCAGATTCCTTCAGATTTTTTCCGATTCTCTCAGATTCTCAAGAATTTTTCAACTTTCCTCACATCGCTTCAGATTCCTGCAAAATACATTCAGATTCTTCCAGATTTCCTCAAATTCCTTCATTTTCTTTCTGACTCTCTCCTTCAGACTTTTTCGATTTTTTTTTATTCCTTCGGATTATTTCGGATGCTTTTGATGCTTCATCTGGATTGTTTCATATTTTTTCGAATTTTTTCAAATTCTATCAAAGACACCATCAGGGATCCTCAAGATTCTTTCAAATTGTTCAATTCTATTCAGACCATTACAGATCCTTTCAGATCCCTGCAGATTCTTCAAAATTCTTCCAAATACTCCCAGTTTTTTCTTTGGGTTCTCTTAGATTTTTCTAAACTCTTCGAAATTTCTCAACATTCCTTCAGATTCTCTCAAATTCTCAAAAATTTTTCACTTTTCATCACATCGCTTCAAATTCCTGCAAACTCGTTCAGATTGTTCCAGATTTTTTCAAATTCTTCCATTTTCTATACGACTTTCAGATAACGTAATGATTTTAAACAAGTAACACTAATAATTTAAAATTAGTGTTAAAATCTCTAATATTTAAAAAAATAACATTTTAAAAAATATTTTTTGTTTAAAAGTTTCATTAATTATTAATCTGTCTTTGTTTAAATTCGATTCAGATGAGGTTATGCAACACATAAGACACAGTTGTATATTTAGAATGGACAAGTTAGGTCCAGAAGTTTGAATAGTTTTTGTAAATTTCAAATTTGGAGTCGTAATAATAATATCACATAATATATAAACATTCTCCAGTGTTATCACGTGTCCATTCAACGTAAATTGTGGGGTTAAGTATTAATATAAGTGTATGTAATTTTATAAAATTAAAAACAAAGTCACTGTTGTCAATTTTGGAGATGATTAACGTTTTACCATTTACATGATAGTCCTAATATACATACATTTCGCAACAATAAGTCCGGTAGTTTCGGAGTTTACCTGTTTTGAAATTTTTAGCAAATGGTCCCATTTTTTGCAGCAATTATTTGAAAACTAGCAAAAATTTGTAGTAACGAATACGGTTTACGTATTACTGAGTTTTAAAAAATAAAAATGAGGCAATTACATATTTCAAATAAGTGTCAATAATCATTTAAAATTAGTGGTAAAATCTGCAATATTTTAAAAAATGACATTTTAAATAACATTTTTTGTATAAAAGTTTAATCTTGTCTCTCTTTCAACACAAATGTATGTATAAGGACAACGTTTATCTTGAACATATATTTGTTTAATACAACTTTCTATTTCAACACTATGCAAGAACACTAAAAGACAATATATTTATTGTTATAACATTTAAATTATTACATTACGTATTAAAATTTAAATCGATTCAGAGGATATTATGCAACACACAATACACACTGGTATTTTCAGAATATGCATATAATTCAGATACAAACTTTCACGGCATGGAAACAACAAAAAAAATTCTGGTTTGGAATAGTTTTTGAAAAAAAAAAAGTGACGGGATTGGTTATTATTTGTGTGACTAAAAACAATCTATAGTGGAAATAGTATGAGAAGAACATGCTAGGTCGTCATAATCTGTCACTTTGGCTTTGGCCAGTGGCGCCTGGACACTTTTAGGTCTGTTGGTGTGTTCTTCTCCAGGTATTTTCACTCTACATAATTATAATTGTATTTGTTATAAGTATTTAAAAGTTACTTAAAAAAATAATAATATGAAAACCTAATATTATCTATATTTTCAGTGAAAATGGAGCTGCTGAATAATGTTCTAAAACAAACTTTTTGTTTCGGCAATTTTTTCTTATATAGGATTTTGTACCACTGGACTTCCAATTTAGCTCACTCTCCCCTACAAACAACGTCTAAACATTCAACCTACGAAACAAAACAAACAATACAGGAAAAACTTGAGACATTTCAAAGCACAAAAACACATTTTTTGCTGCAGATTCCGGAGATAACGCTAACTGGAACGTAGTAAAAAATAAACCAAAGAAAAAATATGCAAAGTGATTGGCGGATATGCGAGAAGGATAACGATAAGCTATAAATAAAAGCAGTTCAAAATATAATTACCGAGATGACAAACGCGGAAAAATTCTTGCCTGTTGTGTGACCGGTGGAGAACAACCTTAACAGAATCATAATATAATAAAAGTATATATCGCGTCATAATTAAACCATCTCAAAAAAACTATACCGACAGTAATAAATGCCGCACTTTATTGAAGGTTGTGCTTCCATTAACCCACCCACACCACGTATTCGAGCCAAAACCCTTCCTACTTCACCATCCCACATCCATCACACCTGTAATTGCTCTTAACATCGCGAGAATTTTAACACCTCGGCGCCAAGACCCGAGAAACCGCAAACTTTTACTTTCCATTAACTCCTTATCACCCGTGGTATGTACACATGCCAAAAAAGCAAAATTTTACGTAACGCGGCCGTAGTGCGATTTTTACTCCCAGCAGACTGGGTAGAAACCATAGGTTTAGTGATTACCCATTCACCTGTCACTGTCAGTAGGTCGCCCCATTGTCCCCACCTATTACTCTAATAAGTAGGTTCTTGTATATGTGAGATACTTGTTGGTAGCGCACATGTCGATGCATATTGACCCTTAGCGAAGCTAATCTTTGCCGCAAAACTCCTCGTGTCGGTTCCTCTTTGTTAGTTCTCGTTCCTGGTGAAGTGATGAGTGAAACAAAGCTCCAAATTTTTCTCACAGTAAGTACACTGAAACTTTTCGCGGAAGACCCACTTCTTCAAATATTTGCCCAGTCGAGCACGCTTTTTCCATTAGCGGACGCAAAATCAACAAATTCCGTCTTCTGGATATCGGCAAACAGACAATTAGCGAATTTATCTGGTTTATGTCTTCGCCGGAATTACGCTTTGGCGGGTCGGATTTCAATGGGTCTGTGGGTTCTAATTGGTGTTTGTTTCTGTTAAGGCAAAGGAGGGCATGCAAATTCTTGCTGGGACGGTTTTGGGTTCTGTGGATATTCTATTCCGGACTCATCGTAATTATCACTTTCTAAGCGAGCGTGCTCTCTATTACCCATCGAGAAATTATTGAATTATTGCAAAATGGGGCGCGGTGCGGACGCCCACCGGGTCGGAAGATGGATGGCAATAAATTTTGGCAAGGTTGCTGGGCGAATTTTGGAAATTTATTCAGGATATTCTAATTTGGAGAGTAGAATAAACAATAAACGATACTGCGATAATAACAAGGAATATGAAATTATTATTAGTTAATAAAATTAATTTTTTATTTATTTATTTATATTTCACGATAATTGCATTTCCATTAAAAAACATGGTTACAAAAAATCAGCAATTGCGCCACTTTTAAAGATGGTCGTAATTTTCAACTGTAGCGAAAAAAGCTCGTTTTGAAAACAATTTGTTTTTATTTTTAAAAAAGAGGTTTAAATTTTCTCTAACATCAAAAATTGGATATGAAAAATAATATAGCTTGGAAACAATTTTTGAGTTAAATTAAAAAAAAAACTCAAAATATTAATTTGTCAGTACAAAAGAACTCCAGAAACGGTTTCTTCTCACACTTCTGAAGGAAGGAGAGCGAATTTTGACCATTTTATCGGAATTAGATTAATTAAAACCGCTGAAATTGCAGACAAAAAAAAAAATAAAACTGCCGGTTGTTTACTTTTACTTCTTGTAGTGTCGCCAAAGCTGATAGTGAGCGGATTTCAGTCTTGTTTTTTCCGGCAACAAATTAAGATTTGCAGAACTGGTTTCCCTGTAACATCAAAAGAAATATGAAAATAATCAACAACTTCTTTGCGATTTTTACGAGCTATGAAGAAACCCTAGGAACAAAAATATAAAAAATCATTTTAATAACTGTAGAAAAAATCTTCAAGCGTAAAGTGTCAGCAAGTTTTTTCGAAAATTGCAAGATTGTTTCAGAATTCATTGAAAATGAGTAAAAGGTCCGGATTTGGAAAAAATAATAAAATCTCTCTTGCTGATTTCCAATTTTATTTTACTTTTGTTGTATTATATTAAGTGAGAGTTGCAGAAGAGGTATTTTTGATACTTCCGGAGGACGGAAGATGAATCACAGTTTATAATTTCCTTGTAATTAATTTAATTAAAGAGCTCTGAAAGTCCAAGTAAAAAAACACAAAAAAATAGTAGAGCCGTCAGGCAATTAAGACTTGAAGAACAGGCTTCTACATAACACTAATAGCAATAAAAAATTGGTCTAATATATTAGACAGAAATTAAAGTTACAGTGTTCGTAGCTTTTAAAATACCCTCTTTAAAATTTATGTGGTATATGCTGTATACACTGCTAATATAAAATTTAAAATAATGAATTTCTAGCGTAAAAAATAAAAACGGATTCATAAGCTACAAGTATGAAAGGATGTTATTTCAGGAAATTTTGAATAAACTTATAAATTTGTATATGCATATATTACACAGGTACTTTTTTCGTAATATCACTTTGAAAGTTATTAAAAAAACATTGTGGTTAGAACTCCGTTATTGTTTGTCATACAAAATTGTTTTTGGACTCACTGTAAAGCCCATAAAATGCGCTTGTTTTTAGGTACCTAGACAAAATTAAGTTCATGCCGTCTTAAAAACTTTTTTGTAATTTTCAAAACACCTATTTAAAATTTTTTCAAAAAATCGTGTGTTTAAATCCAATGCTTTTTGAGTGTATGATCAAAATTTCATGGTAGATAACAACGGGATTATACCTACAAAAAAGCAAAGTGTAAAAACCAAAAAAAAAAAAAATTGGTAGATCAAATTTTCTCCTATACTTAAAATCCATTTTTTTTCAATTTATCAATTTATTTATTTAGTGATATTATTGCCTGTGTGATATCATGTCACAGACAAAAGTCGCTTTTAAAAATGGGCTTTGCGAAATACGCGATTTTGAAAGTTAAAAAAAAAGAAAAATATTTTTTCAAAGAGTAATTGATGTAATACATATTTTACGTTGACGCCCATTCTACTAACTTTAAAATGGGTACCGTCCCGTTATCACACTACGTTTCTTACTAAGTGGATTTTAACATAATTTTTTTCAAAAAGTTTGAAATTTTTTTTCAAAAAATTATGTTAATTTTTTTTTTGAAATTGTAAATTAAAATCCAATGTTTCTTGAGTGTATGATCACAATTTCATGATAGATAACTTTGGGATTATACCAACAAAAAAAATTAAAAATGCAAAGTGTAAAAAAAAACAAAAAAATTATTTGGTGGATCAGATTTCATCCATTTTTTCAATCAATTTATTTGTTTAGCAACATTATTACCTACGAAATATCATGGGACCGAAAAAAACGCGTTTTCATACAAAATTATAAATGCGTTTTTCGAAATACAGGATTTTGAAAAAAAAAAAAAAAGATTTTACAAGTTTTAAAATGAGCATCATCTTGTTGTCATAACAATAAAATATAAATAAACAATTATATATCAAGGTGTTATGAATTTTGTAACTAAATTCACACTAAGTTTCTTAATAAACGTTTAAAAAATCTAGATACATGTTTTTAGAATTAATCTTCTACTGAGCACTCACTGATAAAAATATAAAATACAAAAATTAAAAACATGTGTTCAAAATTAATGTTTAGATTTCAAAAGAAATGATCCTTAAATAACATTTACTATGCAAAATATTTTTTGGTGTACCACGGCTATTGATGTTGCTTTTGAAGTCACTTGAAAGAATTTTGGGGACCCCCTATGTTTTTTTAAGTAGCTTGAAAGAATTTCGGAGACTCCCTGTGGATGTGGATATTGTTTTTGAAGTAATTTGAAAGAATCCCCGGGACCACTTATGTTTTGTTTTTGAAGTAATTTGAAAAAATTTCCGGGACCACTTGTGTTTTGTTTTTGAAGTAGTTTCAAAGAATCTCGGGCACTTTTTGTGTTTTTTTAAGTAATTTGAAAGAATCTCCGGGACCCATTATGTTTTTTTTTTAAAGTACTTTAAAAGAATCTCGGGGGGACTTCCTGTATATTTTGTTTTTGAAGTAATTTGAAAGAATCTCCGAGATCCCTTACGTTTTGTTTTTGAAGTAGATTGAAAGAATCTCGCGAACTTCTTGTGTTTTTTTTTGAGGTAATTTGAAAAAATTTCGGGAACCTCTCGTGGGTTTTTTTGAAGTAATTTGAAAGAATTTTGGAGACCCCCTGTGTTTTTTAAGTAGCTTGAAAGAATTTTGGAGACTCCCTGTGGATATTGTTTTTGAAGTAATTTGAAAGATTCTCTGGGATCCCTCATGTTTTGTTTTTGAAGTAGTTTCAAAGAATGTCGGACATATTTTGTGCTTTTTTAAGTAAGTTGAAAGAATTTTCGGGACCACTTATGTTTTTTTTTGAAGTACTTCGTAAGAATCTCGGGAGGACTTCCTGTATATTTTGTTTTTGAAGTAATTTGAAGGAATCTTCGGGATCCCTTACGTTTTGTTTTTGAAGTAATTTGAAAAAATTTCCGGGACCACTTGTGTTTTGTTTTTGAAGTAGTTTCAAAGAATCTCGGGCACTTTTTGTGTTTTTTTAAGTAATTTGAAAGAATCTCCGGGACCCATTATGGTTTTTTTTAAAGTACTTTAAAAGAATCTCGGGGGGACTTCCTGTATATTTTGTTTTTGAAGTAATTTGAAAGAATCTCCGAGATCCCTTACGTTTTGTTTTTGAAGTATATTGAAAGAATCTCGCGAACTTCTTGTGTTTTTTTTTTGAGGTAATTTGAAAGAATTTTGGAGACCCCCTGTGTTTTTTTAAGTAGTTTGAAAGAATTTTGGAGACTCCCTGTGGATATTGTTTTTGAAGTAATTTGAAAGATTCTCTGGGATCCCTCATGTTTTGTTTTTGAAGTAGTTTCAAAGAATGTCGGACATCTTTTGTGCTTTTTTAAGTAATTTGAAAGAATCTTCGGGACCACTTATGTTTTTTTTTTGAAGTACTTCGTAAGAATCTCGGGAGGACTTCCTGTATATTTTGTTTTTGAAGTAATTTGAAAGAATCTCCGGGATCCCTTACATTTTGTTTTTGAAGTAGCTTGAAAGAATCTCGCGGACTTCTTGTGTGTTTTTTTTTGAGGTAATTAGAAAGAATCTCGGGAACCTCCTGTGGGTTTTATTTTTGAAGTAATTTTAAAGAATTTTGGGGACCCCCTGTGTTTTTTTAAGTAGCTTGAGAGAATTTTGGAGACTCCCTGTGGATATTGTTTTTGAAGTAATTTGAAAGATTCTCGGGGATCCCTTATGTTTTGTTTTTGAAGTAATGTGAAAGAATTTCCGGGACCACTTGTGTTTTGTTTTTGAAGTAATTTGAAAAAATCTCCGGGACCACTTGTGTTTTGTTTTTGAAGTAGTTTCAAAGAATCTTGGGCACCTTTTGTGTTTTTTTAAGTAATTTGAAAAAATCCCTGGGACCCCTTATGGTTTTTTTTTTGAAGTAATTTGAAAGAATCTCGAGGGAACTTCCTGTATATTTTGTTTTTGAAGTAATTTGAAAGAATCTCCGGGATTCTTTACGTTTTGTTTTTGAAGTAGTTTGAAAGAATCTCGCGGACTTCTTGTGTTTTTTTTTAAGGTAATTTGAAAGAATCTCGGGAACCTCCTGTGGGTTTTGTTTTCGAAGTAATTTGAAAGAATTTTGGGGACCACTTGTGTCTTGTTTTAAGTAGTTTGAAAGAATCTCGGGGACCTCTCGTGT